CCAGCCAGCAAATGCTGGCTGGGGAATTCTGGGAGTTGAAGTCCGGACATCTTCAAGTTGCCAAAGTTGAGAAACACTGGTTTAAAGAGTTGCCCGGGAAAGCCAGATGTCCCAGCATGTCCACAGCTGATTTAATCGAGGACTTTAGATATGGTTGGTGGAGAATCTGTCTCAGACAAGAGGTCCTTCAGTTGGCGAGAGGAGGAGGAGGAGGTTCTTATGAAGCTGCTGAATTGGTCTCTCGCTCACAGGAAGCACTTCAAAAGCAGCTGCCTGGTTCAGCAAGTGCCCTCCGCTCCAGGCATGGCAAGTTAGGGCGGTATAACCTTTCCTCCTGATAAATGTTTCTTCCAATAGAAGAAGTGTAAATGGGAGTTGGAGTGGTGCTCATCCTTGCGTGGGAGAGAAGCGGATCCTCAAGGAAGTGGGATAATGGGAAGGAAGGCTGCTTTAAGCCCATCAGTAAAGAAGTAATCTTACCCCTCTAAGAATGCTCACGCAATGAAACCCTTTCCTTCCTTTAAAGGGAGAAGAAATTTTTCTGGATATGTTTGAAGATGAATATAGAACTATGACCGTAAGTAACGACCAGATTGCCAGAGAAATACGAAACTGGCAAAGTGGAACATCGTTGCAAACATTTAAAGTTTTGTTTAAAAGCGCTATTGCTATCAGTCACCTTTTAAGGAAAGAGAAGGGGGTATTGAAGAAGATGCCCATAAAATAGGCAAAATATGAATTAAAGATTAATAGTGCTGTGTAAATGGAGCAGCTGAACAGGGAGAAAGCTGGACGCGTTGGCAAAGCGGGAGAAGGGAGGAAGCTGAGCTGCAGAATGGGTGACCCTAGTCAACCCCAGCGGCTCTTTTGAGGTGGAGGGAAATGCACCAAACCCTGAGGGGTTGCATCTCTCTCTAAGGGTGGGTGTTGGCCATGGCCTGAGAGACGGGACCCCTTCTGTGGCCTTCTGTAGAAAGGGTTGTCTGTGTCCTGTTACGGTCTCTTTGGAAGAGGTAAGGTGGATGGGGTTTGTACATGAAGTTGAGGGTAGCATTTCTTCCACCAGCTGAAGCCCATGAATGTGGAGTACCTGATGATGGATGCTTCCATTCTGCTGCCGCCCACGGGAACCCCCCTCACGGGCATCGACTTCGTTAAGAGGCTCCCCTGTGGCGACGTGGAGAGAACCAGGCGGGTGAGTGTGCCTTCCTTGGGGCTTTGCCCTCCAGTCCTAAGTGTTCAAGGGACGCAGCGTCCCCTGCCTTCTCCTGGAACAGCTGCAGGGTTGGGTGGAGGTTTGCCTGGGTCTCTCCTAGCTGGCCCCTCTGGCCACCCTGCTCGCTCCATGCGGGAGTGACGTGATTCTGCTACTGTGGGGGCTTGCAGTGATTGTGCCAGCAACTCTCTGCCTGCCTGCCTCCCTCCCTCCCTGGTAGGAAATTGTCTCCATGAGCTTTTGCAAAGGATGATGGGAAGAGAGAAAGTAATGAGGGGATGCCATGAAGCTAGAGAGGTAGAAGCATTCAGAATCAGGAGTGGGGGGGCATTATATTTGCCCCACACATGTGATGCAAGCTAGGGAAGTGCGCAGCCACCTGTGAGTGCATGTAGAGCATGACAAAAGTGTTGAAGTATGCCAAGCCCTGTTGCGCGCACAGACAGGCACTTCCGAGAAAGCCCTGCGTTTGAATGCCGGATCTGGCTGCTGGGCTGATGTGAGGCTGAGGGCTCTCTGCTCTCGGCTGCCTCCTCGAGTGGGTCGTGCCTGGGGAGGTGGAGGGCGGGGAGCTAGACGAGAGCGAAGAAGAGCTTTCTTGGAAATCCCAGCTGCAGGGCTGGTCTCTGAATGGTTCGGTTTATACAGCTTTTATCACCGCGTTATCTCTTATCTTGTTTTTCACTATAACAGGCTTCTGGGAAAAGCAAAGGAACCTTTTCCTAGAATAGAACACGCTCTTTTTGAAGGGGTTTCTTCATAGACCTGAAGGTCATGAAGGAAAGCCATTCTGTGAATCTGTATGTAATGAATCTTGGATCGTTTAGTCTGGAACGATTAAAAAACGGTTAAGGTTCCTATTTTTGATCATAGTTGAAGCAAGAGTTTCTGCTTCCTGGAAATGGAGATTTTAGATCTTCGGTCCAGAATTACAGGGCGGTGGCAATCTTTGTACGTAGATTTTGTCCTTAAAAACAAAGGTTGCATTCTAATGCATGTAAATAAAGTACATTAAAAATTATCTCTCTGTAGGAAGCCACAAACCACATCCTTTTGCAAACTCTTGGTTGAGCCTTGAGTAACTTCTTGATTTTTGCTAGCTTACTTAAAAATGACCCAAGTGACATTTTCGGGCTGAATTCACAAAACCCACCAAATCCTTGAATAAATGAGATGTGGCAATGTCACATCCTTTGGCCGACAAACACATCCTCCTGCAGTCAAATGGGAGGTTTAATGCAGTGTTTCTCAACCTTGGCCACTTGAAGATGTCTGGACTTCAACTCCCAGAATTCCCCAGCCAGCATTTGCTGGCTGGGGAATTCTGGGAGT